AAAAGGATTCCAGACAGAAGGAACTGCAAGTACAAAGGCCCTGAGACGGAGATGAGCTTGGCAAATTCTGAGAAGGTCTGTGTGGCTGGAGCCAGGTAAGTGAAGAGGAGAATGGTATGAGATAAGGTCAGATGATACAAGGCTTTATAGGCCATGATGAGGACTTGGGATTTTATGGGAAGCCCTTGAGAGTTTTAAAGAGGGAGAAACACCATCTGATTCTTATTTTTAAAAGGCTGCTTTGGCAGTTAAATGCAGAATGGAGATTGGAGGTGACAAGAGTAGGAAAACCAAGTAGAAGGCTGCATAGGTGAGAGAGAGGAGGGTGGCCTAGGCAAGGATGGCACAGGGAATTGTTACAAAATATCCCCCAATGGATCATACCTCCTTAAACTCATGCCTCTGTGTGGTCCCCTCCCACTTTGATTCTGGACTGACCTTGTGACTTGTTTTGCCCAACAGAATGTGGCAGAACTGATGCTATGGGAGTTTTAAAGCTTAGGCCTTAGGAAGAGCTGCACAGCTTTCACTCTTAGCCTCCCGAATCCCTGAGACCACAGTGAGTAGAAGCCTAGGCTATCCCTCTTGGAGATGAGAGACCATGCAGAGAGGCCCATCTGAGAGCCACCACCAACCATCCGGACATATGAGGCCACCTTGCACTCTCCAGCCCCAGTTGAGCCATCAGATGAGAGTACACGAGAGATCCCAGATAAGACCATCAGAATTGTCCAAATTTCCAACCCACAGAATCAAGAGAAAAAATAAATCGTTGTTTTGAGCTGCTAAGTTTTAGGGTGGTGAGTTATGCAGCAGCAGATAACTGGAACCAGTGTGAGAAGGACACAGATTAGTACATCCTACCCTTCACCTTAGAGACAACTAAGGATCAGATTTATTTCCTCTAAGCCCAACCCCACCTTCCCATTCTCCGTGGAGAAGCACTTTTTCAGGTATCTGGAACTACATATCCCGTTGTCACTATAAGCGCCCTTTGGTTTGGTTTTGTCTGATTGTTGGTACAGCAGAAGCATGACTGCAACTCAACGGATTTGAGTCAAGCCTTAGCTTCCTTCTGATTCATTGGGTTTCCTTGTCCAAGTTCCTCAACATGTCTTTTCTTTCTTCTTTATTTTCAGAGAGAGAGGAAGGGAGAGATAGAAACATCGATGAGAGAACATGGATTGACCACCTCCAGCATGCCCCCACACTGGGGATTTGGCCCACAACCTGGGCATGTGCCCTGACCGGGAATCGAACCAAAGATAAAAAGGCCTGTTCTACCGACCTCGAAATAATAATAGTAAACATGTATATAACATAGCACTTATCATGTGACAGGCACTATTCTAAGCTTTGGACATGTATTAACTTATTCAATCCACATAACCATCCTACTAGGTAAGGTCTTTTATGATACATGCTCTACAGATGAAGAAGTTGAGGATTAGAGATTTTTTTTAATATGGTTTTTTAAAAAAAATATTGATTTTAGAGAGAAAGGAAGGGAGAGAGAGAGAAATGTTGATGTGAGAGAGAAATATCAATCAGCTGTCTCCTGTATGTCCCCTACTGGGGATCGAGCCTGCAACCTGGGCATGTGCCCTGATCAGGAATCAAACTGGCAAGCTTTTGGTGCATGGGACAATACTCAACCAACTGAGCCACACCAGCCAGAGCACATACCTTGGTTGCAATTCATCCCTGGCCCTGGTTGGGGTCGTGCGGGAGGTGACCAGTCGATGTGTCCCTCTGACGTCAATGGTTCTCTCTTCTTTTCTCTCTCTCTCCTTCTCTCCCATTCTTCCTGGGGATGGATGAAAAAATATCCTTGGGTGAGGATTAAAAAAACTTTTTTAAAGACATATCCATTTGTCGAAAAATATCTTTTAAAGATATGCAAGTGGCCCTGGCCGGTTTGGCTCAGCGGTTAGAGCGTCAGCCCTCGGACCAGAGAGTCTGGGGTTTGGTTCCCATTAAGGGCACGTACCTTGGTTGCAGTTGCCCCGGCCCCAGTTGGGGGCGTGTGGGTGACAACCTCTCAGTGTGTGTCTCTCTCTCACATCCATGTTTCTCTCTCTCTTCCTCCCTCTCTCCCTCTCACTCTATCTGAAGACAAATGCAAAAATGTCCTTGGGTGAGGATAAAAAAAAGAAAAAGAAATGCAAGTGATCAAAATGGTAAATTTTATGATGTATATTTTGCCACAATAAAAAAGTTTGGTTTTTTTTTTTTTAAGGAAAAAACAGAAATTTACCATGTGATGGAGCTAATGAGAGGTAGGGATGGGATCTGACCTCAGGCCATCAAGTTTCAGGATTCTGGTGTATGATACCAAAAGAGATTGGGATGTGAAAATCCTTGAGGAAAAATAGAAAGTATAAAGTGAAGGAAAATGAAAATACTGAAGAATAATATGCCATTTGTGGAATTTTTTCCCTTATCAGTCATTCTCCTTCAGGCATCCAGAAATGGTGGTAAACACCCAGGATTCAAGCTCTAGGAGAACTGGAATCTATATGACTTACTAGCAACAAGACTCCAGGCAACGCCTCCTAGTCTCTTAAGCTTTCTCCCCATTGGGAATAATATATGTTCAGCTACTCTTCAGGATGGTTGTGTTGATCACAGGAGTTAATGGATGTGTGTTTCACTGATCAATTCCTACATGAGAAACCACTCCAAAATCTAGAACAACTGGGTTCAGCTGGAGTTTTTCTGTTGCACGTGGTATTGGATGGGGGTTATGCATGTGGCTGCATTCAGCTGACAGTTCAGTTGGGTTGGGATGTCCAAGATCACTTTATTCACAATTCTAGTGCTCAGCTGAAGTTTCTAGAATGTCTTGAGGAGTTGGCTGGCCTCCCTCCCTTTCCCTATGGCTCTCCAGCAGGGTAGCCAGACTTCTTTATACATAAGATGGTAGAAGCAGAAGCTGCCAGGCCTCTTAAGGCTAAGGCCTAGAACTGGCAGTCATTTGTACTACATTCTATTGGTCAAAGCAAGTGATAGGACCAGCCAGATTCAAAGGAAGGATAAATAGCCCTGGCCAGTTTGGCTCAGTGGTTAGAGCATCGGCCTGTGGACCGGAGAGTCCCGGGTTCGGTTCCCACTAAAAGCATGTACCTCTGTTGCAGTTTGTCCCTGGCCTGGTTGGGTCGTGTGGGTGGCAATCACTCACTGTGTCTCTCTCACATCGATGTCGTTCTCTCTTTCTTTCTCCTTCTCTCCCTCCTGCTCTATCTGAAGATAAATGCAAAAATGTCCTCGGGTGAGGATTTTAAAAAAAGGGAGGATAAATAAAATATGCCTCTTGATGGGAAAAACAGCATGTTCATGCAAAAAAGGGAGGATGTGTTGGAAACCACCTTTGCAGACAAGCCACCACAGTGGTGTTCATAGGTGTGGATCAGAGTTCAACTGCACCCTACTCAGGAATATAAATAGCAGAAATTCAAGTAGTACCTTTTGCCAACCACACCCAAAGGCAGATGAATTAAGGAAATAAATCTCATTTTGGCACATCAGCATAAAACTGATGAATAGTGTATTGAGATCCTCCCCTAGGGCTTCCTCTTAACTTCTAGCCTTAAAAAACCCTCAAGTAGCCCGGCCGGTGTGACTCAGTGGTTGAGTGTCAACTCGTGCACCAAGAGATCACCAGTTCAATTCCTGGTCAGGGCACATACCCAAGTTGTGGGCCCAATCCCCAATAGGGGACATTCAGGAGGCAGCCGATCGATGTTCTCTCTCACCAATGTTTCTATCTCTCTCTCTCCCTCTCCCTCTAAAATCAATAAACAAAAATAAAATTAAAAAATAAAAAACCCAAGTCCAGCTGGTGTGGCTTAGTGGATTGAGAGTCCTCCCATAGCCTGAGAAGTCCCAGCTGGATTCCCAAGATTCCCGGTCAGGGCACATGCCTAAGCTATGGGCTCACTCTCCAGTAGGGGGCGTGCAGGAGGCAGACGATGGATGTATCTCTCACATAGATGTTTCTCTCTCTCTCTCCCTTTCCCTCTCTAAAAATTCAATAAAATACATAGTTTTTAAAAACTCTCAAAACAAAGGTCCCAGCACACTCACTCTCCCTTGCAGGAACACACTGCACCTTTCCCTTCCTCCTCTTTTTTACCACAGGCATGCATCTTCTAAACTCTTAAGAGACCCCATGGAGACTTGCAACCAGGGAGCAATGGGCAGTGCAGCTCATCCCAGGCTAACCCCCTGACCCTGTCCCCAATGCCCCCGTTTCTCTAACTTCTTACTGAGCCAAAGCAGCCAGCCTAGGGTCATTTCCCCACCCAGTGCCTCTCCTGTTGCTTCTTCTGTCCTAGGCCCTTCCTTGTTTCATTGTCCCCAGCTCTAAAAATCGTGCTCTAAAAATCACCTTGATTCCTGTTGTGAAATCTTTCCTGCAGGAAGTCAAGAACCCACACACTACCAGGTGGCCCTAGGCAGATCCGCTCAAGGCCAGGTCCCCTTTCTGGTAAGAGGCACACACTTACCTAACTAGCCCATGATTAAGTCCACATTCAAAGTTATCTTCCTCCACCAAATATGCCGCTTTTCATTCATTCAACTACTACATGCCCGAAGGAGTATACATAAGTGTATAATGACAGCTATGTAACATTACGTCACTGAATCCTCATTATAAAACTATAATGAAGGTTTTATAATACTCCCCGATTTTACAGATGAAAATGAAGCTAAGTGAGGTTAAATAAAAAACAGGATCCTATCTTAATAATTAGTCTTTTGGAGAGGATACAGAATAGTCAAGCAAGTAATTAAGTATATAATTACAAATTATTCTCGGACTCCAGCTGCTATTGGAATCCCGGTATCCACTCCACTCACCTAAATTGAGGCCTCTGGTAACCCTGACAACGGTTTTCCGGCCAATAGTAAAGATGGTGCCCAGAGAACAAGCGCGCTGACGCACAACCCTCATTACCCACAATGCAACGGGGGAGAGGGAATAGCGGTCTCTGCCAGGAGCCAATATGGCTCCCATAGTTACACCATCCTTACTCTTCACCTAGTCAGCGACTTGACTGCTCAGACCAGGCTGCAGACCAAGAGCTAAGTCTACTTAGCCCCTCCTGACCGCAACTACAGGAGCGACTGAAGTCGGGCGGCACCTCGCGGTATTGAACTCCGTTCCCAGGGAAACACCACGTCCGCTGACGTCATCACGCCGACACGTGGATCCAAGATGGCGGCAGCGATGGTGAGTGAAGGAGACTCCGGGAGCCGGAGCTGGAGCCGGGTTCTCCGGGGGATCTTAGGTCCTTCCGGCACCCCAAGCCTGATCCGAGCCACCTCCGGAACCCCTCGTTCAGGCTTGAGGGATGTCTCTGACTGCGTTTGTCTCCTCCAAAGTTCCCCTTCTCCGGTCTTGGCCTGGCATTCAGGCTTGTCAAGGCCTGGAGTTTTGGGGGAGGCAGTGGGTCGGAGGAAAGGTCTCAGCTACCATCTCCGCCGGTTCCTATTCCTGCTTTGGTCTCCGCCTTCCTTGACCCCCTTTTTCCAGTTTTCACTTACCAAGCCTGAACCCCCGAAGAGTCCTCCCCCCCATTATTCCCGCCCTCGCTCCTCCCTCTCACATCCGACCCTGCTTTCTCCGCCTCCCCCCTCTCCTGACCAGTTGGTAGAAGCGACCTCACCTCTGACCGGCCTCCCAGCCCAAGTCGTATTTTCCAGAGCCCGGTTCTCCCCTCCACCCTCACCTGTTCTCACCGCGCACCCGTCTCGACTGCGGTTACCCCGGATTATGCCCTTATCCACCCTACCCCATCTTCCATCCCCCGACCCTTTCCTAACTATTTTACCTGTCTCCTTTCTGTCAACTCTCTGCTTCTCCTGTGGAGCTTTCACCCCATTGGTTCTCAAACTTTAGTGTGCAAAGACTTGCAGGGGGCGGGTATGGGGGGGTGTTGAAATTAGTTTCCTGAGCCCCACTCCTAAAGATTCTAATTCCTAAGGGATAGGTGATGCCCAGGAATCCGCAGTTTTATAAGCACTCCGGTGATTATAATGGGGGTGGTCTGTATTACGTTTTAAAAAACACTACACTAGCCTCGCCTTCTGCCTCCCCTTTCCATTCCGCTACAGGGGCCACACAGGTGTTAGGGATGAACGTTTATTTGGATTGAGCTCTTTAGGATGAAGCCTGTGTGTGGATAAGGGTGCAGTGTGCCTGGAAAGTGGGTCAGAACTTGTTGGCTTCTTGTACAAAATCCTGGAAGTAGATCTCAGAAGGAATAGCCTTTCTTCCAGAAGCTCAATTCACACTCTGCTTGTCAAGAGACCAGAACCAAAATTGAAGTCATTTAATCCAGAGTGGTTTTCTAGGTCATCCTTTATGTTGATTCCCTAGCTGATTATACTATCCTGGGAGTGAATGCAAAGAAAGACACAGAGAAAAGGAAGTGACGTTAGACTTTAACAAAGGAAAATGCTTGTTTAAATTCTTTGGTGTTTGTTTTCTCCAAACAGAGGTAGGTTATTGGCTGATAATGAGTTCCCCTCTTTCTGTTAACCAACTGATAATTTAACCTTTTTGTTTAATGACGAATTCCTTATTTAGAACCTCAGAGGTAAGGTAAAAGATTTCACAGCCTTGTCTGATATCTGTGCTGTCAGACTTCAGGCTGAATCATAAATGGGGAAAATCCCAAAAGTGACATGTTGAAACCCGTTTTTTTCTGGACCACATTCAGAACAGGGATGGTGTAAGAATTTAACAGGAAAAGTCACACCCTCTCTTGACATAGAAAAAAAGTTTAATGAAGTGGCATTTATAGAATTGCACTGGGAAATTCCTGCCCTGTTCAGAGGTTTTAAAGAGGTAATATGTTAGCAGTACATATTTCTGGAACACATTTATATAATCAACAAATATTTGTGTGCCTGCTCTGTGCCAAGGCCTAGGGATATAGTTGTAAATTAGAGGTTCAAGGTCCACCGTTGTGGAGCTTTTCTAGTCAGGAAAAAGAGAACAAGTAAATAAATAACATGAACATGATATAATGTCAGATAGTGTTAAGTGCTGTGACTATAGTAACTGATTTCAAGAAACTGAGGATGTAATGTACACAGTGACCCACAGAGGCCAGTATACAGGGTGCATACAAGAAACTGGATTTTGATGCAGTAGTGAAAAGGTGTGGAAGCAAATTCGTTACAGGGGAATATGTGTAAGAGGCCATAGTGGGCTCATAGATAGATTTGAATTTGGTCTATGTCAAGCACTTTATTTCATGGAAGAACAGTCCCCACACCCTCTTATATATAGGCTGTTTCACAACCATTGGGGATGTAAGTATGTGGGTCTGCTTTGGGGTTTATGGGTTTCTGAGGCAAGTCATACAGCTAAAGAGGAACTGAGCTAGTGGATTCAGTGACCGTGGGAACAGGCTGAATTTTTGGTTTGTTCTTTTGTTTTGAAAGTTAGGGTTGTGGGTACAAGTTTCAAGTGCTAGTATTTATAGGCTTTTCCCTCTCCTCCCTTTTTTTAGTGAGTGGTTCTTCTTCCTCAAGGGTTGGGCTGCCACCTCCCAGGTCTGTGTTAGCGCAGTGGGTGTTTCTTGAACCTGCAGACAAGAATTCTCTCACCATAGGAGTATGGTTGATATAAACTGAAATTCTCTCTGGTTTACCTATCTTCTTCCTGCCCTGGGTTTAGACTGCTATAAGGTTACAGGATACCAGGTTGATCTAGCTGGGTCTGAGGTGAGAGGCAGGCTCATATCTCACTCTTTATGGAAATGTTGAGCATATGGAATATGCTTTTGGGAATATTATTGTGGTAGAACTTGGGAAATGTCCATTGAGTACATTTGCAGGCATCTCAGGAGTCTAGAAATCTCTTTTTTGGGTTTTATCTTTTTTCTTATTGGTTATTATTCATATACCATAAAATTGGCTCTTTTAAAGTATAAAGTTTGGTGGTTTTTAGTATAGTCATAAAGTTGTGCAACCTGCAACTTTCACTACCATCTTCCTCCAGAACATTTTCATCATCGCAAAAAGAAACCCATTAGCAGTCACTTCCCACACTCCCCCTCCCCTGTTCACCACAACCACTAATTTACTTTCTGTCTCTATAAATTCACCTATTCTGGACATTTCATATAAATGGAATGTTACAATGTGTGGTGTTTTGTATCTGGCTTTTTTTTTTTTTTTAACATAGTGTAATGTTTTCAAAGGTAATTAATGTGGTAGCATTTTTTAGTACTTCATTTCTTTTTATGACCAAATAATTCATTGTATGGATAGACCACATTTTGTTTATCCCTTTATTCATTGTTGGGTGTTGGTATTATTTCCACTTTTTGGCCATTATGAATAACATTGTGAACATTCATGTGCAAGTTTTTGTGTTTTTAGTTTCCTTCTGTTTATACCTAGAAGTGGAATTGCTGGGTCAATTCACACTGTTTTGAGGTTACTTGGGTTTGATGCAGTCCAGTTGCAGGGGAATGGACTGAGTTACCTCCAGGTTTCTTTGATCAGATGGAAGCAGTGCTAGCCAGTCCTCCCAACACAATCAGAAGAAGCACAAGAACTGTTTTTAGTGGTGGAATCTGGATGGCAGAGTCGTAGAACAGGAAGCAGGAGGCCTAGACTCTGCTACCAATCCCACGTGTTGGAAATTGCTGTTTCTTCTGGGCCTCACGTGTGGGGTGAGGATTAGCTCACTGAGGAAGGAGCACTACAACAGGAGTCAGCAGCCTGTGCATGGTCTCAACCCTGCCACTGATCCACCGTGTGGCATGGGGCAAATCACTTTGACTTACTGGTTTGTTTCCACATATGTCCTATGAAATTAAGGTTTGTACTTGATGATTTCAGAATTCCAGGTTGAAATTTTTGTGGCTTAGAAGACTTGCATTTAAGATGACTTTTGCCAGTATACCTTTAAAATCAGATGGATTTTCCCCCCCATGATCATAGTTTCTGTGGTCTTTCCAAGCTTTTGTCTGTTGGTTGTGTTATCTGTCTGATCTCTTGAGTTACTCCACCCGCACATATTCTGCAGGAGCCACTGTGTCCTTGGAGCTGGTGCAGGCACCAGGCCTTGGTTCAAAGGTGCTTCTCTGAGAAATTCCTTTAAATGCTCTTAATCCCCTCAGGAAGTGCAGAGGAGACAGAGGTAGCATTAAGTTGCCTCTTGGTTTCTCCTTTACAGCTTGGATAAAAGTTCCCCTTTGATCTCAGCATTAAAGATGCAGGTCGCAGAATGCTGGAGAAGGTTGAGTTTTGATCTCTGGCACTGGCAGGAAGGTGGGATGGACCCAGGATGAGTAGGACCATCTGGCCACAGACAACGATAGGAGTCACCTACCTAACCCCCAAACCTGCTTTGATCTTTGAACCATTTGCTGACAATGGTATTTCCCAAATGGGGCACCGTTAGGGACACCCAAGACTTCTCAGTTCTGTCTCATGCCTCTTCATTGCTTCCTTTTCTGCCTTCCTACCATGATGTCTCACCTATGCCTAAGCACTAAACTGACAGACTTCCCAGGGTTTGAAATCCCAAGGTTTTGTATTCAGAAGGTATGCTAAATGCTACTTGCTGTTACTAGACTTAGTGGGGTGATGACATTGTAAGGCATAAAAATGTCAAATCACTGTATTGTACACTTGAAACTAATATAAACAATATAAGATTATATACCAACTATATTTAAAATAAAAAATAAATTTATAAAAAAGTCAAATCACAAGTTGGAACTGAATTCTTAAGGCTGTTTAGAAGAAAGTCTGGGTGCCCTTAACATCTTTAGGCCTCGGTTTCTACTTGAAGTAGATCAGTCACTATAAATTGGCAATGCATGGACCACATTGGCGGAGTGGGGTAGGTAGCACTTTTAATGTTAGTTGTCAATGTTTAATGATAAGAAGATTTCACAATTCTAGATTTTCATTTCTCTTGAAAATTTGGGCTCAAATTCCCCATCAGGAGCATTCCCCATGCTAGGCCCAGTTTATCATTTTCTCAATTCCCTCTTGTTTTACTCCTGAGCTGCTTCACCATTTAGGTCACTTATATGATCCCTCTAGGTGGTTGAATTTGCAGTCCCAAAATGAGATGGTCTCTATATGAAGTATTTCCTACTCTGACACTCTGATTCACAAGTTATTAAAAGTTTATGGTAATCCCCTGTGTTGCCCAACTTCGAGGGAAAACTTTCTACTCACATAGGTACATGTCAGTTG